TTGTTCGATATGTCAAAGCTTGAGTCTGAGATCAAGCATGTGCACCACAGCCTCTCCTGGGCCACGAAGAAAGCCTATCCCAAACCAAACTACACGACCTGGCTCTTGGACATTCAACCTCGGCTACAACAATGGTATGCTACTATCCCTGAGCGCAGCAGAGCGCATCCATCATCCATATTCGCCAATCAGGACTACTGGGACGCCATCTACAACAACGCAATCATTCTACTGCACCGTCCAAAATCCACAGTCCTACACGTGTCGAATGACGCTGTATCCATTTCATTCGAAGCCTCCTGTAAGCTGATCAGAAATATCAAGATGCTCCAGCGGGAAGGCAAAGTCGACATTATGTGGAAGTATGTACACCACCTGTTCATGGCGGGTCTAGGAGTCATCTACAGCATCTGGCAATTCAAAGAAGTCCGCGACCGCAACCCCGTCCGAAGTAGTATCTCCACGCTTCAGTCGTGTGCCACTACTCTCACCGCGATGTCGGAATGTTTCCATGGAGCGTCAAGCTGCCGCGATGTATTCGAGGCTCTTTCTTCGGCTACAATCGACTGGTTACTTACAAATGATGCGGATGAGGTCCGTCAGAATCGGCTAGACTTCGAGAAGCAGGTGCAAGATCTGCTGCAACAGTTGCAGCCATCGAGAGATGGAGTCTTTGTAGCGAACGACATTGGAAATGATGGAATGTCTGGTATGCTCTCGGTAGATAACTTTGCTTTTGGCGAGATGCTTAATTCGGCAGCGCAATGGCCATTCTTGGACTACATGGGGTTTGGTGATCTCGGCGATGAGGGATATGGTTCTATGCAGACAGCAGGGTTCGGTCCAGGGTCTGAAAGTTTGCGAATGGCTTGAGCGATAGCAGAGATGAAGATTTACCTTGCAAGAGACATGTTCGCTTATGACTACAGTACTGTACTTGCACAATCTTGTCCGTCGTATCGTATATCACCAATCATTTGATAAAAGTTGTGGGGACTCGCAAACAAGACCTCTTGCAAAACTTAGGAGCTCTAGAAGTAGTCTTTGGATTCTACATATCCATTTCTGGCAGCGTAGTACTGAGGAGGTAGGTATCGGAAGCAAGCATTTGAGTGACTTGCCAATTGGTCGAAAATGAACGGCCAGCCATCATGATCACGTCAATGTACAAAATAGAGTTCATGATAAATGCTCAGATTGTAAGACAAACCTACTGAATAACACCGCCCATCATATCCCATCCTTTCAAAGCCGCGTCTCCATGGCCCTTTCCACTCTGACTTCCTTCACACTTTCCGCTTTAACAGCAGGTCTAGCATCCACAATCTCACTATAAAGAAGCGGCTCCTTGACCAACCGAGCATCAGTCAGTCCAGCCTGCCAACGATCAAAAGCCTTTTGTGGAATAACCGTCGAAGTCCACATCCCCTCGCGACGGAACTGGTTCGTCACACTAACAGCAACCTCCACAGGAACATTTGGGAACAAATCAGCGAGTTCATCACTGAAGCTCTCAGCTTCATGTTCGAGTACCCAGTCAATACCCTTCTTCAAGCCAATGCAGAAGCGCCTCTGGGAATCGAGAACTTCCGGGGTGATAGTCGCTGACTCTCGATAATACACACTCCACGGAACATCTCCTTGAGTGACCATCTCCATCTGTATCGCGATTTCGGGATTGCTCGAAGCCATCGCCAGCGCAGAAAGATTATCAGTAACGAAGTAATCACCCATGCCCCCCTGAAACAAGTTCCCCAGCATAACGCCATCCAGATCCTGGATATAATCAACAGATCTCGGATCCACTCCCTTCTCACGCAGTAGCATCTTGAAGAACAAGCCTACGCTAGCGCCTCCTCCTGATTTCATGAGAACTGTCTTGCCCGCCACGTCGGATAGCTTGAAAGGTTGGGTAATACCGCTTCGTCCTATCAGAGCGAGAGGGCATCGGTTGGCGATTTGTGCGAAGACGGTGTAGTTCTGGACTCTTTCGCGGTACATTGAAGGAACCCAGATGCCGCCGAGTGACATGTCGGCTGTTCCGTCGGCGAGAGCGTCGAGGACGCCATCCCACGGTGTGGGGATGTTGACTGTTACGTCTAGGCCTTGCTCTTTGAAGAAGCCGTGGCGGAGGGCGATGTACTCGGGAAGGTAGTTGAGGTTGTACCCCGTTGCTGTGAGATTGAATTGCTGCATGGTGGAGGGTGAAGTGGAAGATTTGAAGATGTTTCTGGTGAAGGTTGGAGTTGTTGATGATTGAACCTGGGATAGGAGTTGGAGAGAAGAACATCAGGCTGCTTAAGTACAGAGGCATAATTAAATTTCCGTAGATGCGACCACTGCGGTCACCGCGCTGCTATCCATATTTCGATGCGTTGCTGTCAATCACACACTGCTGGTCCATTGCCGTCGGAAGATTGCGATTAGGCGAGAGGTTTGCTCACACTGTATCGGCTTTTTGCGATGCTAGTAAACAAATCCTTATCTTGCTGACCATCGGACAATTGCGAATCGCGGGCTAGCTGTGGCTATTGTCGGAGTAAAGCGATGGCATTGCGACTTTTGTGATCTCGGGATGCTGTTAATCAGTTATCACGGAGATCACTTTCAATACACAGACAAATCTTTTGTTTCTGGACCTCTACTCGGATTTGGCCGAGATTTGGATCAAGAGGATATCTGGATATGACAATGAGTAAAATGAGCCACAAAAGGCATAATGGAATAGACATGACTGAGTCAATACAATTACCCCAATGTCTCCCCCGAACAACATGTCTGGATTGCAACGAGCACAACTTCCCCCTTTGCCGCATAACCAATCTTAAGTCCTTGACATTATTCCTCGTACCAATCCTTTCACCATGACTTTGCAGACGTATCACGATCAGACTCCTGCGGATGTAAAAGAAGCCAAGGTAATTCAGGTCTCTTCCGAAGTTACTGTCCGAAGACTAGCCAACGCACAACAGGGCTTACATCTTCTCACACAAAACACTCCCAATGGCCAGAAAGTCCAGATCTTCTTGGAGGAACTAGCAGCAGCCTATGGCACCGAGTGGACAACTACTCTAATGTCCGTACAGTACATTAAATCAACCTACAAGTTGCTAGCATGATACTGACGTCCTCATTCATAGCGATACATCGACCGACGAGCAGAAAAAGGACTGGTTCCTGACCATCAACCCAAACGGTACCTCAACTCTCCTTTCTTTTTCCCTTCCAAAAAATACCCCAGAGGCTGAGCCTAAAATCAATAAGGCCGAATACCAGTTCTGATCGACAATACCCAATCACACCCCCATCCCGTCATGGAAACATCAGCCGAACTCTTATATCTGCTGCACAAATTCGACGTCGAAAAGAGGTTCGGCTTCACAGATGATCTTGAACAGAGCGAGATGATCCAATGGCTACTTTTCTGGCATGGAAGTGGCGCGCCGTATCAAGGGAACTTGGGTTTCTTCCGAAAAGCCCAGGAACAGAGTAGCTGTACGTCAAAACCCCCTCCTAGTTACCAGCAGTAATTCCCGCGAGAATTGAAGAGAGAGAAATCGAATTAAAAGTGCTGACAATTCTTTCCCTCGACAAAGTCGCTATCAACCGCTTCCGCAAGGAAACCTTTCGCGTATTCGGCGTTCTTGAATTGCAGCTCTCTGGCAGATATACAGGGCAAGCGAAAGAATACCTCGCGGGGAAGGGAAGCGGGAAGTACACGGTGGCGGATATGGGGACCTGGGCTTGGGTGAAGAATTGGAAGGGGAGCGGGTTTACGGAGGAGGAAATGGGTGTGTTTCCGCATTTGCTGGCGTGGATTGAGAGGATTGCTGGGAGACCTGCTGTGCTGAGCGGGATTGGTGAGAAGTATTCGCTGGTATGAGAATTTACTGTGGAGGTTTTTGAAAGACGATGTATTGAGATTCTCGAGTTGTGAGTAATAGAGTACTGAATTCTGTGGTGTTTCGACTTTCGAGGATTGTGAGAAGCGAGGTGATGCCACTAGATGTAAACAACAAGAACCATACAAATTGGTTAGCGTGAGACAAACAAATGAGCGAGGGTATATGATGATTCTGGAAGGTGAATAAGTATGGGATATGTGACTTGAAGTTGGAAAAGGGCGAAATCAGCCTTCCGCCTTCGACTCGATACTACTCGGCACTCCTTGACATGGAAATCCGTCGTCACTCACCACCGAACTAGATTTTTTCATATTCCCCCCAAAGAATGCTCTTTTCGACATCCTCTACATGAATCTGCTCCCAGTGTTGTCTAGGTAGCGTTGTGGAAACGGTTCGTATGAAGCTTAGTAACAGACAATACCTGGGTGGGTGCAAGCCTTTTTGAGTGTGGGAGTACAAGAGTTACTTACTGCCTTAGTCACCGTAAAAAAATTGCGTCAGGGAACCATATTTGTAGGGAAGAATCGTCCTGTTCGAGGGCATATTAAGACCCTGTTCCGCAGTTATAATACTGTATGGCTATCCTCCGGAAACATAAGTTGAGCTTCGCCTAATCAACTCGCTAGGTAGCCCTGAAGAAGCTCGCTTAGCCCCCACCTCGCTGGACGCAAGATGGAATATCGAGACAGAAAATGGCAAGGAGGATGGCTAGAAGTCTAGGTTATCAACACCAGGAAGGAAGGGCTGGAGGCTGGAAAAATCGGACAATGTTTCAAAAGAGAGAATTGCTGAAATTTTTGATTATTATGTCCTACAGAACTATTGCATATGGTGTGTTAATAATATCAAACCACCACTGCCACCACTTGCTTGCGGAGTTACGAATTCGATGAGTGCGCCTGGTCACCAAATGATGAAGACTAGATAGTTTATCTCGGCTTTCTTTCTGGCCTATTATCATAAGGGTCGTGCTTAAGCGCGGCGTCGGCACTGTGGTGTAAATATAGCGTTGTTGAAACAAAAAATGAACGCAAAATAAATGACTGGATATCACAGATATGAACATCCCAAAAAAGAAACGTCAAAACATTGATTTGCTCTCGCAGAGGCTCGAACTCTGGACCTTTGGATATCTCTCGAAGTTAAACTCCAAGTTCATATACATGAATATGAGACCAACGCTCTACCGGCTGAGCCACGAAAGCATGTCAATTGACTAGTCATGTCTTCCAAATGTCTTATTTTAATGTATAACAAAATTACATAAATACGGGTTCTGAACTGTGCTTTGGGCCCCACCTTGGCTGCGTATTGGCCGTTTGTAACCGATAAGGTAGGCTGCGCTGTGTACTACAAAATCCTATGAAGAAAGGCATCGCAGAAGAGGGAGTGATACAGTAGCATGGTATTGTTATCAATTCTCAGCTGGCAAGGCAATCTAGCTCTCATGAATTTCCAGACATGACTTTGCCTATTAAGATTAGGTTTTTCGATAGAATTAAGTATTGTCCCCTTCCGCACTTAGAATACAACAATTCAGGAAGACTAGGACTTTCCCTCCCCCCACATTTAAGGAGCAGAAGAAACTGTTCTGATTATCTGCTCTACGCAATTACTGGTCAATGGAATAACATCCTATGCCCCGAATGCTCCCTTCGGAATTGCTCGAACCGTTCCGAGTCTCGGATACGGAAGCGCGGGGTACAAGCCCCTCTTCCACACGGATACGAGTACGCATGTTGAATGCCTATATGTACAGTACTGTATGAAAGGACACTTCATAACTCGCAAGACCGATTATGAGCAAGACCGAAGTAATGAAAGGCAATTCCATGTTGCTTTCCATAAACAGAAAGCGCTTACTGAATCACGAGGTCGAATGTGAAGAAATCGGATTCCTCGGAACAGCTCACTCAATCACAAACCGAGGGCGACCATCTCATGTTTAAGAGAGTTCGGAGCGGTCAAGTCGTCAATCTGACATCATAAATGAGCAATTTCCGCATATTACAGTTCGACCTTACTCGTCATGGATGGGAAAGCCTTGTATGTTTTTGGGACCAGAGGTATTCAATCTGATCTCTTTCCAACCCCATTATTCCAGACAACCTTGAACCCCTCACGCAAGTTCCCAGCGTGCAGTAAATCATGAGAACATCTCTAGCAAATCATAGACTCTCCAAAAAGCCAGTTCTAGAACGCTGCAAGTCCTCAACGGCGTCAAGGACGGCGTGCTCACCAGAAGTTAAGCTCCGGAATTTAGCGGACAGGGTCAGACTGGCCTGGTATGAAACCCAGGTGGATCTCTAAATATATCTGGCATTGTACAGTAAGGTTTCAAAATCCCATCACCGGCTCCCGGGACGATGCACGCTGGGGAAAGGGACAAAGGAGGAATCGAGGGCGCTTGATGAGGATGAAGCGTTGCCACTTGATCCAGAAGACACATGCAAGTCCTCGTGTTTGCGCGCGTGAGGAAGTGGTTTCTTGCCGCGTCAGACTTTAGCCAAAACGGAGGAGAAAAGAGTTTCATCCACCCAAGATGGTGGCTTAGACTAGACTCTCACCCCAACTGACACGTCTGTGGAGTTGGGACGGGAACGATTGGATGGCGTGAGCGATCAGGGTCTGGGTTCCTGACTTACCTTGAATAATTTGGATAATTTTCCTGAGGCACGCTTCGAGTCGCGCGAATGGTTGGATGGGGAGACCAAGGAGAGGACAGGATAGCATGGAAATGATTCTTTGAAGAGGATAGGCCAAGACAGGGGAACTGGAGGCAAATATACATGCATGTACAGTAGATGCAAGCCCAGTGGCGGGTCTTGGCGGCGAGAGATATCAAAGTGCGCTTGGGAAGGGATAACACCCAGTCAACCAAGGGAGGAAGACCACCAACAAAAATAACAATACCACCCCCCGTCCCACCCCAGACTTCTCAAATATGATATGTATTGATTGAATACAATCGCCTCGCATCGCATCGCAAGTCACTTCATTCCTTCCTTCCTTCCTTCGGTCCTACTTCTTTATTCCGCATCTACATTTTCCGTACCTCGTCTCCTCATCTGCAGCAGCATCTTCGGACTGCATGAATTGATATCACCACCACCACGACTCGATATCCCACGTTCGACGTTATCTCCTTCCTTCCCAACCCTTACAGTACCAGCCAACCCAGCAGGCAAGCACGCACCGCAATCCACTTGCCTTCCCAATCCACTCCTTTCTCCGGCACATCCATCCATCATCCATCCATCGATCGATCTTCAACTCGTCTCCTCGACTCGACCACTTCCACTTCCACTTCCACTGCCAGGATCACCTCATTCTCTCTCGGCATTAAAATCCCCATAGCATTGGGTCTTGCTTGTCTCCGATCCTCCTTCCTACCCTACTGTCGCTTCTGCCACTGTCACAGTGTGACATTACTCGGCCCAGGAACCTTCCTACCCGTTGGATAAACTCACAAATTGGGTGGCTTGCTATTCTCTCGGCGACCATAACAATCAACACCAACCCCGCCAACCTCACCTATACCAACCCTTTCTCGAACCTAAACACACTCGAATACACCGATCTGATCTCTATAAATCGCAAAGATGAATATCAACAAGAAGCTCGACCGGGTCAAGCAATGGGCCGGGGAGAAGATGGGACAGGAGTCCAAGACCGGCGTGTCTGACGAATTCAAAGCTCTGGAGATGGAGATGGCCCTAAGACACGAAGGTAAGCTTGATCGATCTACGGAATAGCGTATGCTGATTGTATTCAGGCATGGAGAAATTGCAAAAGTCAATGACTGTCTACGTCAAGTCCTTGTCGAGACGCAACGAAGCCGAAGATAAGGAGAAGGTTCTGCCGGTTGGTTATCTAGGACAGACCATGATACACCACGGAGAGGATTTCGAGCCGGATTCGGAGTTTGGAAATTGTCTTATAAGTGCGTATACCTGGTCGGGTGGCAGAGGACGGTACTGACTAGCATAGGCATGGGGAGAGCAAATGAGAGAATTGCCCGGACACAGGAGAGTTACGTGGCCAATGTTACAACAGGATGGTTGGAGTCTCTAGAGCGATCGTTGGCGATGATGAAGGAATATCAGGTATGCAACCGCGGATCTCTCCTCTGCGATTACTGACTTTTGCAGGCTGCACGAAAGAAGCTCGAGCAACGACGACTGGCATACGATGCGTCCCTCTCCAAGATGCAGAAGGCGAAGAGAGAAGATTTCCGGGTCGAAGAAGAACTCCGCTCCCAAAAGGCCAAATACGAAGAGTCCAACGAAGATGTTTTCAGACGCATGCAGGATATCAAGGAGGCCGAGGCAGAGAGTGTTGCGGATCTTGGTGCATTCTTGGAATCCGAACTCGAATACTATGACAGATGTCGTGACGAGCTCCTCAAATTGAAGAGAGACTGGCCTGCTGGGTAAGTCAAAATTCCACCTACAACATGCATCACTAACACGAACAGACAAACCTCCCCTCAACGAGAATCAAGACGACCAAACCCGAGATCCCGATCAAACACAGCCCATTCCTACAACGACAGATATCAGGAGGAGGCTCCACCAATGCCAGAGCCAGAAGTTAGACCTACCATCAGATCCCAGGGTCGAGTTCCATCCTCTTCGCGCCTCGAAGTCCGTCTCGACACCCATGACGAATATCCTCAGGTCGAGTCTCCAAACCGACCCAACCTTGGTCGCGCATCCACATTCCAAGGCCCAATTGCTATACACCGCGAAACCACACCAGTCTCGGGTTATCGCAAGCAGTCTGTTCCTCAAGATCCAGGTTCTCTTCGAGCACAACTTCGACCTTCCAGCAGAGTCAATACTAGCGGTCCTGATGTTTTCGGTGATCCTTCTGATGACTCGACGTTGAACAGCGCCAGCCCGGATCGGTCTTATAGTGCTAGGTCTGTCAGTCCAGCGACCTCCCATGGAAGTGTAGGAAGCAGAACCGCCAGCTACACGACACTGAATAACGCTACGAACGGCAGAAAAGCCCCTCCTCCACCACCAAGCAGAGCAAAGAAGCCACCCCCACCTCCACCAATGAAGCGGGCAGAGATCAGCTCTGGGAGTATGAACAGATACTAAGATGACATTCTTTGATTCGAGGTCGTGCGCCGTTGCACATAAAATCGAATCCCAGCGCAAATTCTCACTGCATCTTCCTTTCTTTTTCAAAAAGCGCTGGGACCTTATACCGCTCCTTTAATGCACATATTTTGCTTTTGCGTTCCTCGTGGAGGACAATTGTGTAAGATGATCGAACTGGATGGATAGATAGCGATACCCATGGTGGCATTCCGCTGGCTGTCCTGCTTTCATCTGACTTACTACTCTTGAGAGAGGGGTTTCTTTTGGGGAATGGATGTGGTGGATGTTAGGGTTATTAAATTGGTATTGCGAGATTACTTGCAGCATTTTCTGATGGCGTTCCTTGATTGATTGGAAGGAACGAAGGGCTTGTTTGCTTCTACGTACTTGCTTGCCTACTGGTTCTTGAGGGTTGGAACTTGAGTGGAGCGCCTGGAAACTTGAGATGGACCGTTCCGGCTGGTCCTCTTGCATGGCTAGGGCCGTTTATTCGGTAAATAGAAGAAGAAGAAAGGAGAATTGGCTTGAGTTGAGTTAAGCGTCGCATGTGGTTAGGTTGAAGGAGTTTATACACACCTAATACAGATGTATCTTTTTGCAACCTGCTACCCTGATATCGTTTTTATTCCCGCACTTGTAAGAGAGTTGTGACTTCACTGGACGGAGCGACTGGGTCTCTGCTTTTGGGTTAGGGGGTCAAGTTCTGGAGTCTATCTACGCACGCTCCCCAAGTTCTTCACTCTGACTTGGGCTATTCATTCCCTCGAACTAGTTTCCCTACATTAGGCCGTCGCTACAGCCTGCGCCCCACATGCGGTAAGAACTTGGAGGGTTTCAACTCAACTGGAGAAAGTCTGTGTACTAACTCGAGCTCGGGACTGTGGGTCGAGGAGGCGACGGGAGGGTGGCTGGCGTGCAAGGTGGAAAGGAGATAGATACACCGTAGTCTGTTTGAGAAGGGAGACATTAGATGAGGGGGAGAGGACTGTTGTCGTTGTGAGGAGTGTTGTCAACTTTTAACCTTTCATTTTTTAGATAGATTTTTTATTGTGAGGGGGGCTGCGAGGTGCATGTATAGGCGAGGTGAGAGAAAA